TCTGTGATATCTATTCACTCTTCTTTGTATGTGTGCATATAAATATGTACGTGTGATAGTGTGAAGAGAGAGCAACGAGAGGAGTGTTTTTCCACGCGTGTAATCCTTTTCATTTTCCACAATAAACTAAGAAGTATCGAAACACGAATCTCTTGTCTCTAATACTTACCAACAAAATAGCCTATTTCTTCTGCGCAACAACATGATCTATTGAATGCCACACCGAATACTTCTAAGCTCTTAGTGACTCCTACATTCTACTTTCTCTATTATTACTTCTTTTCCTTTAATACTACACTTGCATTCCAATCTGATGAGTCCCTTAAGCAAGGACGAAACGCGTCATAGATAGCTTAGGAATATTTCTTCTTTCTTAAACTCACCCTCACCCTCGAGATTGTGTTGTATCAAATGAAAATAAATAAAGCACAAAAGTAAAAAAGAAAGCAAGTTAAAATGCTGAACAAACGTAGATTTTAACAGTCGATGTGACGTTAGAGGAGTCTGTGCCAATCCTTAAGTGAACGATCTAACAAAACTATACTTTTTGCTCGACTTCAACTAATATACGTTGATAAACGAACAACATATTGTCCTAAGTCTCTGTTCACCAGTAACGAGAGTTCATTTCATATTAATAGACGAAACGCCGATTTTCAATACATTAAAAGTATCGTTTATGCCATACATGGAGTTTTCATATGCACGCAAATAAACTGGTAGGCACGACGATCCATTACACGATTGGTAGCAAATAAGCGATGTCTTTTATATTTTACCATTACAATTATCTTATGAAGGTTCAACATATTTTTGACAAGGAGAGATGAAAGTGAGGAAACTGTTTATTGGTGAATTAATCGTCGGCAACTTCCAAACGATTCTTTAAATTTTTTCATGTACAAATCAGAGGGAATGACAAACACCACGAAGATGAGCATCGACGGAGTGAATGAAATAAAATAACCAAGGAGATACAGCCACAGATAGTGAGACATTGTCAAGCATCCAGATAACAATGAGATGATGAGACGAGGCAACGCTAAAATAAGCAGAATTATGGGACTGATCACCAATTGTTTGTGCTCTTTTAACTGTTCATGAATAAGTTCTCTAAAGGATTGTTTAGTTCGAACCACAGATCGTTGTCGAGCAGCTCCGAAGATGATGAACACAGCCGAGAAGAGATTAGCAATGAACGGAACGACAAGATGGAAAAATAGGATGACTGTATTGTATTCTTGGACGGAAGGAGAATAACGAGTTAGACACCAAACATGTTTCTCTGCCATATTTGTCTCTGTCTGGTTTGTCTCAGGTTGATCTACTTCTGTGTTGTTTTTGTCTATGTTAACTTCGACTACTTTGCGGTATATAGGCTCATGAATGAGTGTGCCCATGATGACGAAAGGTAAGATTATAATTATCCATCGAGCAATAAATTTGCTCTTCTTTTTGTCAAAATGAACTCCTTTGGAAACATTGACTGCCCGTTCGAGAGCGATACAGGCATTTAGCCAAGCGTCGAGATATACGAAGAGTTTAAGAACAGGTTCAATCGACGCACAACCTCCTCGAAGAACAGAGAGACTAGTGGATACATTCATTTGAGTGAGAAGAACAAACCAAAATTTGATTGTGAACATAGTGATCGTAAGAAAGGATGTGATTGATGACGCTAGAAGATACATTCCACAGCCAAGTTCTCGTAAATCATTCCTTTGAAACGTCATGAAAGAAAGAATGCTGTTGATCAATCCCGCAACGAACATTGCCATCGTCAGAAATATGCTCATTTTCACTGTCAATGATTGATTGCTCAACGTCGTATGCTGTTGAATTTGGTCTCGCAAAATATCGTCGAGAGTTATTCCAATGTTTTTAGTGTAAAGCTGACATTTACCGCCGATAACACAACTGCTTTGAGTATTATCTAAAAAAATCGCATAAAGCTCCGGTGTTTCATATACTACAGTGAAATAATTGTTCTATCTACCGACGCGTTCAACTGATTCATGCAGTTTCAATTATGAGTAGAATAATCATCGAAGACACTTCATAGTTTTGAGAGTTTCTTTAGTAGTCGTTGAAATCGCAGTCAAATACTGTTGTTGCTCACAAATAGAAAGGATTACTGCTATTAAGAATAATCCAAGAGAAACTAAAAGTGAGTCTGAGAAGAACTTCTATCACCTCGAACAAAAGCACATAAAGTGTAAAATGAATCAGCCGTGGAAAACATCAGTTCTATAATGAATTGCATAGTTTTCCACTAACACTTTCACATCTGTACGATCTTTATTTTATAGTAGCTGCTCGTCAGCTCAGAAGAAACTGCCTGATCAAATAAACAAGAGCAACTACGGATTCGATGCGAGAGAGAATGGATATTTGTTTGTTAGTATAGTCAATTGGTGAATATCAAAATAGCAACAATTTGCAAAAGAAAAAATGCATTGTTCTTTTCCTTTCTAAAGATTTTTCGATTCGTTCCTTCTAATTATATTGATTCTCCATCAATTTTCGTGCAAAGGAAAAGTGACTGAAAAATTCTTTGTATTGTTCAGAATTTTGAGTATTTGACAATTCCAGTTTGAGCTATGAAGAACTTATGAAAGTGAGAAAAATGATGAACTATCATTAAATTGATCTATGGACTCCTCCATTCTATGAATTTTGGAAAATCGATAGTTGTGCTCCTGATAATTCATGCGTTTGAAGGTCCGATTCACTGCGCAAGTTTGTCATTGAATCGGTCTGTCTTTATACTACTATTTCTTATTCGAACAATATGCTTTCGTACGCTTGCTTGAATTATAGATGAGAGACAAAAGTACACTTTTCTGGCTGAAGTAGGAATGTGTGGCTTCAGTGACAAATCTGAAAAAAGTGAATTTGCTTATTTTTTTAAAAGATGATTAGCGATTAATGAAATTTATCAGAAACATATCTTTCGGCACAGATCGTTACTTTTAAGATAATTGAAAAGAAAATACTAAATATTATCTGAATTAAAGAAATTGAGTCTCCAAAATGGGTGACAAAGAAAGGAGAAATGAATGAAGATATTATATTAAACTGTCAAAACGTTTTCAACTAAGCTGATTCGGTATGAATAACTACAATTTTTTTTAGCTTTTTCTGGATTCCTTCGTAAATACAAACAATGACAGCTCGTTCTGCACTCGAAATCGTCTATTTTCTGGTTTGAAAGTAACTGTATAGATTGACGGGAATGATTCTATCAAGTGTATCTTTTTGGTAAGAAAATAACTCTTCTGTTTTTTTTCCAAACCATCATTTGCATAAATTTCTGTCTGACTAATTGGATTCATTGCTGAGAGACAAAGAGAAACACTTAATCGTCTTTCTCGGAAAATATTTTCGCTTCTAAATGTTTGTCTATGACCATTGATCTCAGATCAGAATCGCCTTTCATGTGTTATATTGAAAACATGAATGTTAGATCATCATGAAACTAGCTGTACAAATGCTGTAACCTATTTAATAGTGAAATTTCGAAGTCTTTTCGTATACTCAGAATAGAAATTGAGTTTACAAACATTTTCTAAATATTGTACTTTTGCACTGATTATTGATAGATAATGCAAATACTCACTAGTTTCAGTCAGCATGACCTTGCCTGGACCGGATACTGTGATCGAGAAATTCCCTGTCACATTTGGCGAAGAAGTTGTGAAAACCAATATGTACTTAATATTGGCCTGCAGATCAGCCTTGAGTTTAAAGTACAACTCACTATCACAGCCTTCGTTATCCTGTGAATGTAAATTGTCAAATGGATTGAGAGGATTGAAATTGTATTTGTAGATGTAGCCAAGTAGGCGGTTTTCCGATTTGCTACCAAATCGATAATATCCTCTCTCGATCACGTTCACTGCTATAGTTGCATAGTAACAGTTTGACTGCACACAATCTCGAGAGTACATTGGACTATTCACAGTCAGTGCAATTGAGTAGTTCGACCAAACCACTATTGGAGTGTCTACTCAATGAAATAAAAGCAACCAAAATTCACAATTTACATAAATAAATAGAAATCAGTATGGACGTTCTTTTGCTTTTTAAATCTGTGGTTCATAACGAGTATTTCAACCACGCTCTCACGAGCTATATAGAGAGTAATTTTAGTCACAAGATGGAATGAAACTCCCTTCCCCTCCACAACAGTAGATCCCTTTAGTCAAAAAGTTTGAAAGGTGTCTTACAAGACCCCCCTCGATTAGTTAAAATAAACTTAAAAAGTGAAAACTTTATTAGTGCATTGCCATCGGAATATACTCAGTGTTCAGAACTTTGCACTGAAACTCTTGCAAGACTGGGATTAACATTATTTCTGGGCAGTTAGAACCATAAAAACTTCTTTTCTAGTCATCAAAATCGAAAAGATTTTGAAAAATGTCACGAAATCGACGTGAGAGGTAAAACATAAGGCACAAGGATTCTACGACAACTTTGTGTTCGAAATGGATCTAATATGCTGTTTCTAGATCCAGTATAGTATTGAAATCAGAAGCGTTAATACTGATTTTGATAGCGATTAAGGTCAGAAGACGTTCACTGCATAATTAAAAACTAATTCTATATTATTCATAGAAATCATCAAGTTGGGCGTACTTTTTGCTAAACAGAGGTAGAGATATCTTCTTTTATTGTTTCTCTGATCCTTTTTTTTTATCTGATCAGCACATGGTGCAGAAGCAAAGTATCTTATCTTCCTTGAAAATATTTCAGACTTCAAATTATTTGTACTTGCGAGGGAATCTCTCGAGATTATAAAAATATTTTGAATTCGGACTACTTCTATCTTGTAGACTCTAGTGAATATTGAAATATCCTGATTTAGTTCGTGCTCTTGTTACTTTGGGAGAGTGTTATGACCGGCTTACTGTTTTTCTCATCGATAGCACCACGTGAGTAGAAATAGCAGATGAATGACGTTGAATGTGAAATATTGTCCATAAAGAGGCTTTATAAACATTAGAACATCCTGAAAATTTCAGACAAAATCAGTGCATCCTTCTGAGGATGCTGACTATTGAAAAAACAACTGTCGACGAAGATAAATCTTGATTATGTGAAAGAAAGGGTCGTTTTTTGACAATCCATTATCCCAAGAAGGATACACTCGTTTTCTCTGAAACTTTCAGAATATTCCAATGTTTAAGAGACTTCTTTACATACACAATATCAGATTCTAAGTCACTCATTTACTACTCCTACTCACATGGTGCTACAGATTAAAAAAAACACAACAGTAAATTGATCATAGCTCTCGCAAAGCAATAAGAGTACGAACTATCCTGGACTATTTAACTATTTACTAGGGTCTGCAAGAAAAAAGCAGTCCGAGTTCAAAAGTTTTTATAAGTTCGAAAGGCTCCCTCGATAGATATGGGAATCATACCGAAATCATTGGTATACATTTTTTTGGAACAAGAATTGCCTATTTCTAGTTCGCGAATTTGATAGATTTTTAACAATACAGTAAATAACATTATGGCAATAATAGTAAGAAACATTCAATGCACGACTTTTACTCAGAAAATAACATGAAAAGCGATGGGTATCAGCTTTCTAAAGATTCTGATTGTTGCAGACATTGATGATTAAACGAATCCTTCAATTCTCACAATCTCAGAAGAAGAACATCGTTTGGTACAGAAATGCGCGTAATAGGTTGGAAAATAGACAGTAAAAGAAAGAAACAAGGAGTAAGGAGAAACATGTTGCAAGCTGGATGAAAACCATCCATGCTAGTGCAATTCGAGTCGAACGACTGAAATATCTAATCGATTCACTAAGTAGTATTTTGAAGGTTCTTGAATAAATACGGTACTGATGATATCGAAGTTAAATCAAGAGAAAATCGGCTCTGGAAATGTTGCTTTCCATTTTGAAGCGAAATTACTGAATCTTTTTTCGTGATTTCAGAGTGGAAATTGAGTTTCAAATATTTTTTGAATTTTACGATTCTATGCTAATTATTCAATAAACAATATTGATACTCACGAAGGCAATTCAGCGTGACATTGCTTCGACTGGATACATCGATTGAGAAGCGTCCTTTGTTATGTGAAAAAGTTCTTACAATCAAAGTGTATGTAGTGCTGGCTTGAAGATCAGCGATCAATGTAAACGGATCAGGCTTGCGGTAGAAAGACGCTGAGATTACATTATCCAACGAATTAAATGGATAAAAACTGTCCTTCCAGAGATAGACGACTAACTTCATTGGGTGGATTGTGCTGCTGATGTCAAAAGTGTAAGAGCCAGTCGTAAACACGTTCACTTGCATCAGTTCATAGGAAAAGGTTGACAGGTCACACGAAATACCCGTATACGTTTGACTATTTGTATTTAGCACTGATGAGTACAAATATCCACTGAATGCCGAAGTGTCTATTTGATGAAAAAGAACAACGAAACTTTGCAGTTTAGATGGAAAATGAAGATGTTTATAGACATTGTTTTTGCTTTTCAAAGGTATGTTTTGTAATAGTTCTCAAAAGCATGCTCTCACATCTTTCTGACAGAGTTGTTTTGGTCACAGAATGGAGAAACACATAAGATAAAACACATGGCTAACTTTGTCACAATATCCAACAGTCTCTCCGCACATAGGAAATGATTGACTGAAAGAACTGTTTTTGTCAGGGAAAAGGAAACACCTTTCTAGTTGTTATACTGACTGATTTATTGAAAAATAGTTCGCGCTAAAAACGGTTTCATACAAGATTTTTGCAACTATTTTAGCATCATTCGATCTTATCAGGTTTGTAAAAGTTGCATTTTGATGATGTATCTTATGGTATAATCCAGACATGGGCAAGTCATTTTGTCGATTTTTTTCAAGTCACTGGGAATTTTTTTGCTATAGTAAAGTATATAATTATCATTGATATGTCGTGTCGTCAAGAACTGTTTAGGCTACAGAATGGTATATTCAACAAGATTTTTTACGCGTTGTGTACATTGTGAGATAATTTTTTAAGTGATGACTTGACAAAATGAATTGACTTGAAAATCAAGTCAAGTCCTTTCTTAAATTGGATATTGTAGTACGTCTGATAGCGAAAAAGTTGTGTTGAATACATCATTTTATAGCCTAAGCATTTCTGAGCATAATTATGTTTGAACGAGAGTCACATACTTTTCTCTAATTGAAATTATGGAACATTTCAAAATGATGCAAAAATGACTTGCCCATGTCTGGTATAATCTAAAAGAAGATACTCATTTTGATCCTCTTGTGGCTTTGAAATGAGCACAACAAGGACAGTTTATGCAAGGATAGCGATGATCTGTACTTCTTCATCCAAAATTCAATACTATTTTGTCTTAGATGTCAGAATCAATCACAAAAGAATTTGTTCAGACTACAGATGATCAGATTTTTTCTCAACCATTGAAGGTTTCTTCCATAGTAATGATGCGATTGCTGTAACTATCTATATGATAAATTTTGTGTCTAAATGCTTGGAATCAAAAAACCACTGAGAAGAACGTACATGTGTCAGTTTGTATCAGTTGAAGCACTCAAGCTTTTAGAATTTTATAATATAAGTATATTTCTCCTCTTTTAATCTGGTTCTATTTTTTTCTACGCGAAAGGTCTCAGTAAATCTTTTAAACAGTGCCCGGAGACAATTTAATAGAGGACATTGTAATACGTTTCGTTTCAACTTGAAAACTATATATTTGAGTTTCCTAACTATCGATTTCAATATTTTGACAAATGGAACATAAGATTGCTAACATCAATGACTGAAAAAGCTCAGCAAACTCTATCGGCCAGAATATCTCTTCGTTTCATCTCGTGAGAAAAATAATTTTCTCAAAATTACCTAGAAACCTGGAAATATAACCAGCACCACTCAATACTAATGATCATACTGTTATCCGGTTTCTGGGTAATTTTGAAAAAATTATTTTTCTCACGGGAATAAACGAAGAGATATTATCCTGGCCGATAGAACTTGCTGAGCTTTTTCATAGGTCAAAATATCAGGTCTATCCATGGTTGGGACATTGAAACCAGCGGATGGACTTTTCGCCCAAAAGAACAAGAAAAGATCAAGAAATAAGAAAAGGTATCAGAAAAATCCACTCAGTTTTCTCAGTCATCTCAATATCAAAACTCGTCGGTAAGAGCTGAAAATTTCAGAACATACCTGACTCGTTACCTACTATAACATAGAAGAAAATCAGCCAGTTCTGAGATCCACCTTTGTCGTTGGTATCTGACTCTCTCAGAAACTCATTCTTAAAAGGTTTTCTTTTGTACGTACGAAGAAAGAAAAAAAAGTCTTATCATTCTATGCTATTTGATCATTATTCATCTAATATGATACTAATCCAAATTGCAGATAATACTTATTTAACTAGAATATCTTCTCACAATATTAGTCTTGAGTACAATAAACAATATTTCGAAGACTCTTTTGCTTTACAATTGAGATCTGTTTGCACAGATTTTGTGGAGCTTTCGGTAACGCATGTTTTAAAATAAAATTCAAGATCTTGTCTTTTTGCCGAACTGAGATCCACGCAAAATAAGAAAGTCTTCAAAATACTTCTTATTATACTCAATATCACCACTATGAAGGTTAGTCATTTCGAATAGGAACGAAACCATTCTAACAAGTCAGCAAGTATGTGTTCAGATAATTTTTGTAGATCTTTTCAGGCCGTATCTCTAAAACAAAACTCAATATTATATCATTTAATCACGTCGAGATACGTGTGCAGTATACTTTGTATCATATTTTATCGCTTTCAAACAATTATCATCTCATTCTCATACTTATATTTTATTTTTATTATTATTGTTATGGAAGATGTTATTCAATAACATATCATTTGAAAGGTCATCGGGAATACTTGAAGAAGCTGATATAGAAACATAGTGACTACATATTGTCGGGTG